TCACACCTTATATGTTATTATTATATTATTATATATTATTATTATATATTATTATATTATTATATTATTCACACCTATATCTAGCCCCTGTCCTCTTGTGGGGACCAGGCTTTAGTCCCCACAAGGAGCAGTGGGTCCCCACAATGTAGTATGTGTCAGGAAAATCGTCTCCACAAGGTAATACAAACAAACACCCACACACACACACGCACGTACACACACATAAAACACATTCACCATCTCCTGCACCGGTCCGATTAGTGGCCGGAACAATTACTGTTATCGTGTCATCTTAACAAAGCATTAGATTAAGAGTCAGACCTTCCCCTCGCCCCTTATCACACTCATCACCATACCCATGTGCACGCAAACACACACACACCCACACACACACTCACACAAGCCAGTTTCTTCAGTGATTCATCACTGACGTAATGCATTCACAAGCCCACGCTAACCATCGCGGTTATATCCATAACCTCAGTTCCTCCAGCCCCGGTCATAAATCGAAACCAATCTACAGTGCTGGGAAAAACGGACTGGTGCCTTCACAGATTTCATCTCTTGGTACTTTTTACGTCAGACTTCAAGTTATCAGATTGTCTAAGGAGATCTAACGTCAAACACAACTTGAGTGATGCCAAAAAGCAAAAGTTTTCAAATGATAATTTAATTCAGTGAGGTAAATAAGGTGAGCAAACCAACCTGAGTCTGTATGTGAAAAGGTATCAGCGTTCTGGGCTTTGACTTCACTGCAAAATTACAAAATCTTACCAAGTATTTTTGGTCTAGTTTAAATATCATTTGAAAGAACACAAAACTGATTATAAGTAACTTTTCAGCAAGATATTATAGCTTTTTAAAGTCAATGATTCCTTAATATTGATTAAAACGTATTAGTTCCACTGGCAGATTATTTTCATAGGAAAAATGTCTTGTAACAAGTAAAATAATCTGCCAGTGGAGCTAGCACTTTTTCATGGATATTAAGGAAGTATTGACTCAAAACAAGCTCCTATAAAGTTACTTATGAGTTAGTTATGTCTTATTTATTTTAAGTGTCCTAAGATATTTGCACAAGAAACTAGACCAAAAACACTTAAGATTTTAATTTGCTGTGACTTTGGGACCATTCCTGCATGTCTTCCCTTCTCATTTCTTCCCATTTCCTGAGTTATTACTCTAAATAAAGACCAGAAGTACTTCAAATAAAAAATAAAAAATAAAAGGCAGTTGCACCCTTAACCTAATAACTGATTGCATCAGCCTTGGAGGCAACAACTGCCACATGACATTTGAGATAACTGACTATGAGTCTTTTACATCATTGTGGAGGAAATTGGGCCCACTCTTATATGTGGAATTGTTTTAATTCAGCGTCACTGGGGCATTTTCCAGCATGAATGACCTCTTAAAGGTCATGCAACAGAACGTCTTTTAAATTTATATCTGAAGCAGTTCTGGGGCTCCTGCTGGTGTGCTTTGGACCGTAGGACAGTGGTGCCCAAACTCTTTGTGTTACAAGTCAAAAGCGATCAGAGTCCAAAAAAATTTAAGAAATTTTAGAAAACTAAAAAAATAATAGAGCAAATGTGTTTTTTTTAAGCGCTCAAAACATAATGTGCAATATATTAATTAAAATAATAAAACAGAGATTTGCAGGAAATCGATATGTAAATTATTGTGGATCAAGACACATTTAAGGCTTTCCACTTTTGCCTTGTTAAAAAATCTCCAATAAAAAGACATTTTGGAGGTTGACAGTTTTTATGCACTGCAAAAACATAAAATTGTGCCAAATATTTTTATCCTAGTTTCTAGTGCAAATATCTTAGTACACTTGAAACCAGACAAATGTTCTAGTTCCACTAACTGATTATTTCACTTACAGCAAGACATTTTCCCATGTTATAAGTCAAATACTCAGCCAATCAAACTAGTGCTGTCTTTCTAATCAATTTTAATAAATTATCTACTTAATACAAGGTCTAATATCTTGTTGAAAAGCTACTTGTAAGATGGTTTTGTCTAAGATATTTGCACTAGAAATTAGACAAAAAAAAAAACTTAAGGTTTTGTGATTTTGTAGTGTACCTTTTTGGCCTAGAAAATTATTATTTGTGTATTTACAGCAACTAAAAACAGGATTTGGGCCAATGTCTTTTCTTCTATTTTTCTGACCTCTTATTTGACGTATTTCCACTTTCTGGATCTGTGTGAAGCAGACAACAGGCAACTAATTCGTCATCTACCTGAGTGAACGATGCTGATTTGAAGTGATCAATGTCAAACAGATTGGGAATTCTTCGCTGTCTTAAAACCTCTGTCCCCTTTTTACTGGAAATCCACTTGGGGAAACTTAACCACAGCATCTTTTGTGTCGCTTTGCTTCAAATAACCAGCTTGAATCAGAATCAATGAACCTCTAATATATAAACGTATATTGTTATAACTTCTCCTCACATTTGACATCTCTGTCTCTTTCTTGAAGCTGCCCAGCCTCACTTTTCCAGTTTCTATCGGCTATTTCCAGATTCCTCCAACTCACGACAGCAACGGCGTGTTCCAGTAATCATTTGACATCCCCTTGCGCTCGGCTCCTACGTATCTACACACGTCATGAAGAGTGGCCTCTGCAGAGTGAAAAGACAAGCAGTGGACGCAGAGTTGAAAAGGAAACTCATTAGGCCACACGCAGAAATATCACTGAGAAAAACAAACGCTGACTAGAAATAGCAAATGGGATTCTATATATAACTTTGTGTAAAGATTAGTCTTCAACTCATCAACTGTTCTCGTATGTCACACAGTTTCTGCATGGACAACTGAAAGACGGTGAGGGCAAAGTTAATTGGAACAAGTCAAGCCTTTAAGATTCGCAACGTTTGAACATTTGGATTAAAAAGAAATCATGTTCCACAGCTAAAGTTCCCTCAGAGAAACAAAACTCTGAAGCAGGTGATAAATTATGGAGTCAGCTAATACAACAAGGGCGTTTTAGAGAGAGAGAGAGAGAGACATTTACAGAAGCCTGATAGGTCCAAAGCATTAAAACAGGAAATTACAAGGTGAAAAAATGATATGTAGATTAATATATTTCATTATAACTAAAATAAAGAGTAGAAAATATTGACATTTTTGTTATCATCTCTTACTAAAGAATAAGTGCACACAGAAGAAAAGTTTAATATTCTAATGTACATGTGTGTTTATGTCATTTTTTAAATATAATATGCAGGTTTCCCCCCCTTCTTTCTCTGCTGTGCATCAGGCCTGTTTGGACCAGTTGTTTCCCACAAATCAGATTAGACGCAGAAGTGAGAGCCTCAGAAATCGTATGTTTTCTTCAATGTTTTTGCACCATGATATTGGCAAGAGATTTTATAGCTGAGCAAATTAGACTGAACGTTAATCTAATTCATTGGGTTGTGTAGGGGAGCCTGCTGCTGCTGAAGCGTACCTCAGCATACGGCCAACTGGCTGGTCTATTGAGCCAGGTTATTATTGTAAGTAAGAATTTGTTCTTTAAATCTCACCTGCATTTTGAGCCGATCCAAAGTTATCAAGAGGTGCTTGGAGAAGATGTACACTTTTGTAGCAACCACTGAAGGATGCCATGCTGGGTTTTGCAAAAGTTTTGCTTATTTGTATGCCTTATTTTTATTTATTTTTTCTTCTGCAATGTAAACATATATGCAGTATCTTAGCATGTCAGTAGAAATGTTTCATTATTCAACTTCATTCACAAAAATTTAACAGCTTCAGTACTTGTGTGTGTTCAAGTACAACCTCCACTGTTGTTGTGCTTCAACTTAACGAAGAGCGCCCTCTAGCGGCCATCAGCCCATTTCAAAATGTACTTTGAAACTACACTTGAAATCCCTAACACATCATTAAATTAGGATTTATGAAACACGTCTGAACATTAAGCATATTTTGAGATTTTCATTTAGCCTTTAATATCTGATGCTTATTGAGATACTTTTAATACTCGGGGTGGAAGATGTTTTTTCCCCATCATGGCAAATCTAAGGTAATTATCAGAACACTTGGGTTCCTCGTTTTTTAAATGTACTTCATTGTGAATAAATCAGCAGCCATTTATAACCGCTTATTGAAACCACATAATTATTTAAAAGGCGGAACGTTTGACTGCTTTGCAATGCCAGTTAAATTTTTGCCCAGCAGGTGTCGCAAACTGCTCACTCTTGAGGTCTTCAAAAAATAGAAGTTCACTACCCTTTTCATTCATGAAAAGGGTAGTGAGATTTTATTGTTTATTATTCTTGTTCAAAATAAAGACATAGTGAGCGTGTCATGGGTCTATGAATACCTGCAAACGTCAGGAATGTTATCATATTTAAACATGGTGAATTTGAATTTGAATGTCATAGGTGTAGCTGTCGGTGCTGGGCGGTGCAAGCGACCTTTTAACACCAACTCTTAAGTTGATTACAAATGAAATCAAAACAGTTTATCTTAGCTGTGATAATAAAACGACATATAACACTAACACAATAAAAAAAATTATCTGATTCTACTGGAGTTTGATGTAGCGTTCAAGATTTTTTATTTTTTATTTTATTTTATTTTTTAAAGATGAACGTCTATGCTGTTTTATTTACCAGAAAGCAATGTTGGATTTTGAAGTTAGGGACTCCACAACTGGCAATTTCTACGTTTTTTATTTTTAAATAAAATAAAAAACGTAGAAATTTTATTTTCTACGTTTTTGTTATAATTGTCCAAAGCCTGGTGTGCTACTAAACATCTGGATACTAAAAATATTTGGAGACTTTAAAAACAGGTTGGGAACTTCGATACCCTCCAATTTAACAGATGTTGCTTTACCGAGCTTTATTTTGAAAGTTTTGGGGAAGCGTTAGCAGCAAAGTGTTTCGTGTTTGGTGGGCGCTGGACAACGGAAGTGTCGCGTGACTGACCAGCCGGCCTCGCGAGCACATTTGGTAAAGAGTTACGTCTTCTCCTGTCTTTTTACCTGAAGAAATTTAAGAAAAATCTTTTACTTTTCATTAGTCTTGGTTGGTAAGAGTGTTCCTGTTGTCATTCACTCATTTGTAAGTAACGGTTCCAGGCAGGGGGGCTTGTGGGCAAATGTTCCGGGTGGAAACGGCTAGTGAAAAGCGTAACAAAATCAAAACTTTGCACTAGGAAGGTTAAAAACCTAAAGTTAATCGTCTTTCATAGGTCACTTACCAAAACTAGTCCAAAACTTGTCATTAGTTTAACTTAATCCAGTAATTTAGCCAACCCGAATGAAAGTTGCCTCTTTTCTTTTAAAGTGTAAACATGTTGTATAAGCTTTAAAACTATGCAGACAGGGGTAGGTTAATATTTGTTCTGCTTTTGAAAAGTTGCCTGTATGTAGTTGTGTGGCTCCTAAACGCAAGTCTTGTCGTTTTGACAGACGTGATTGAGCTTTTATTTTGAAGAGCAGCCTGTCAGCACGAAGGGCGGATGCTGCTGGGAGTTTGGAGCTCGACAGAGAGGGAGCGGGTCCGCTGGGGAAGCTGTAGATCATCGGCTGGGCTCTTCTCTGCTGATCTCTCACTGTCTTCGCAGTTTGGCCGTGTCAACTCCGGGATATGTCCGCTCGGGTATGTAGCTCGGTGGCTGGCTGCTGTTCAGCGGTGTTATGTTGTCAGATGAGAGAATAGGCCAGGAACTTGTTCCCTTCCTTCCGCTGCTTCTCCAGTGTTTGCCTGGGCAAATTAGCTGGCTAGCCCCGTTTTCCCCCCTCACAAATAGCTAATATATTTCCCTCTCATTCACAAACATCGACTGCATTGACTCCTTCCCTAACCCGTGTGACATTTTTTTTCTTCCAGCTCCCATGCGCGTGTGGATTTAAGTCAACCTGAAATATGAACAGAAGAAGAAAATAAGGAGAGGAGGCTGATTTCCTGTGGGAATCTAGGGAATCTTCTCAAGTTTTTTTTTTTTTTTTTTTTTAACCCGAGGACATGTCTACTCTATGAAGCAAAACAGTGAGGGACTAGCTGGTCGACACCCCGGCTAGCGCAACATTTTCAGCCTTTTCAGATGATTGTTCAGCTGAGGAGTTAATTTATTTTGGACCTACTTGGAGTAAAAAAAAAAAAAAAGAAGTCAGCATGGGTGAGCCCAGCCTGGATGACTCCAATGTCAAGGTGGCTGTGCGGGTCCGGCCCATGAACAGGAGAGGTGAGAGGGTTTTATTGTGATTAGATTGATCACCATTCCCTTTGTAAATCATCAAATTGCTCATGCATTGCAGCGATCCTAACGCAGGTTTGCATATCAAATCGATTTAGTGTCATGTTAATGGATTCTAATTGCTAACTAAAAGATTCAGCATTTCCATTACTTAAAAAAATAATAAAACACTGATCAAGACAGCTAAAAAGTAATAACATGGACTTTATACCGTCTGGTGGTTCTGATTTTAATGCTATGGTACCGTTTGCCTGACAGGTCAGAAAGTTCATGGCAAGCAAAAGGAGTCAGAAAATGTTTCTGAAGCAAATCCTTGACAAAACGTAGGGACACTAAAATTACCTTCTCCCATCACTGTCCTCTCCAGGGTAGCTGTACTACCATTTGAGACCCAGTTTGTCCACAAACAAAAGTAAAACACAACTCTGTAGGAAGTTGTGAGAATGAAAGTGATTTTGTACTTGTTAGGGGTGCACCGGTAAACATTCTCCATTTTCCTTATTGTGGGAGATTAGTGATTGTCTGATACTTGAATGTGAAACAGATCTCATCCACCTGTGCAAAAGTCTTAAAATCAGCTGCGGTCCTCTTTTGCTCTCCCGTGAGAGAGGGCTGACTGACAGAACGGCCAACCAGGTCATGGACGTTTGCAGTTCACAATCGTCACCCCACTGTTGCCAGCTCAGCGACTTTCTTGCTATATTTAGTAACATTTCAGACAAAAAAAACAAACAAAAAAAAACAGGTATTGGCCAAAATCGGAATCGGCAGGTCAGGCATTTTAAAAGATAGGTAATCGGCCAGAAAGCTGCCATAGGTGCACCCCTAGTTCATCAGAAGTCTGAACTCTGAGGTATTAAATATGATCCCGTTTCTCTGTTCCATCTCGCCGGAACAGAGATGTTGTTTTGACCCCAGAAGTCGATAATAACCTCCTTCTTTTTGTCCGTGTTGAATTCCAGGCTTTTCTCTGCCTCTGGCTTTTTAAGTTCCTTTGCCTATCAGGTTCTTAAAGGCCCTGACTCAGCTTCACCACTATAAGACAGCATCTTGCTTCCTGATACTTTGTCCACAGGAGACCGGCGTATCTCCCTGTTTTAATTTCCTGGAAATGAGATAGAGGTCAGAAATCACTGGCCATTAGTGAAATGAGCTTCTGTAGATGTATTAAAAGAAAAAAGAAGGGCTGTAACCTGGCTGGTCTGGATGGCATATGTTTATACAGTGCTGCCACAGGGCTTCTCTTATGGACGCCTGCCACCCGTCTAGATTTAAAGCCAAGCGGCTGTGTGAGATCCGCCGCTGAGGAGACTGAACGCTTTGTCTGTTTTGCTGCTTGATCGAGATGCCAATAGCGTCTGTATTTAATTTATCTTCTGCCGAAGGCAACCGCAGAGTCAGTAGTTTTTAATAGGAGGTATTCCGGCTTAACGTCCACTCAGTCTGACAAGTTTCCTACCTCCAGATTGGTCGGAGAGCGTCTCTGGAGTTGCACTGCGATGTCCGCTTAACAGACGGCTTTCGTTTACACTCACAAACGCCACTGAGCTTCCCAGAACTGCTACATGTTGTTACATCCTTGTGTCTAATTTCAGAAAAGCCCAGATAACAAAGGCACAGTGTCGCGCAAGTCTTCGTTCACGCTCCGCCGGTTCACGCAATTACATAGCAGATTTCCAGAGCAGGAAAGGAAGGCACAGATGACATTTCCTGGTTGCTTGGCAAGTCGGGGTTTGTGCCGTGGGATACCATGTGTCCAGTGAAAGGAGGAGGTGGGGAGGCAGAGAGGTTGACCGACAACTGGCAGCATGAATCGCATGTATCCCCCCAGTGTGTTCCCCTACTTGGAGCTGGAGCCGTCAGTCACGATATCAAAACAGTGGAGCTACCACTCTGTTCTCGTTCACCCTCTGCACCAATGTTTGGATACTAGAACTGAAATTAAGAGTTTTACTGTTTTACTCAAGATTCAATTCAAAATCAATTTTTTAAATCAAAATAGTTATTTATAATGATTTCTGCTTCAATCTGTTGTTGTGCGAAGAATCCCCGTATTCTATTCCAGTCTGCTTGGTGAAGCAGACTGACAAATGGAGACACTAAATTAATCCATGCTTGGACGGAATTACTCCTTCCCTACATCCTTCGTTTTGTTTTTATAAGGCAATCGCAGAGATGGAGCTGCACTTTCTGCAGCCGGCCTTTTCTGCAGGCCGTTGCATGCATCCAGAAGGATTGCCATTTTCATCCAGGAGTTTTGAGCCATTTCACAATCTTAAAGAATCTGAAAAAATGTTTAATAATTTTTCACCCTGTTGGATAAACATTCTGTATGTATGTCGCCTGCGGATATAAAAGGCGGACTAGTTGAAGAGAACTATTAATGTTGCTGTTTGAGTGCATTTTCTGCATAAAACATGGCAAATGGGCCCGTCACGTTACGTTATTGTGATAAACAATAATGTTGTTTTGAAGTAGTATAATGGTAATGGCCTAATGATGCAAAAACACTTTATCAAAGATCAATAAACTTTAATTTCTAACGAACATCTAGAACGGGAAGACATTTTAAATGTACAAAATAAATAAATAAAACAACAAATAAAATGGCTATGGAAGTCTTTAACAAAATTGTCCTTCAAAAAATGGCTTAGTTGAGACAAATGGACCAGACAGAAGACTTTTGTCATCCAGGTCTTGGTAGAAAGAGAGAAAAACAGTAAATGATTCAAATGTAAATTATTGAGTTCGTCTTATCATGAGATTAATTGATTTATTGAGATAGCCTAGCCAAAACTTCTGTCCAATCGTACAGCTCTGTACAGGAGGGTATGGGGTGCCTTGGCTCAGCTGTAGCATTCCTGAAGGCTCAATCTTCATTTTGTGAACCTTGCACCTGGTTGAAGCTCATGTCGAGATCCGTCTTCCCGGAGATTTGTTAAAAAAACTAGATGAGTCCATATTTTCGCCTTCAACAAATATTGGGCCAAAACAAGTTTCCTTCTTGTTTTGGTGCTTTCTGTGTTCCAGTACAGTGTGCGTGGCAACGTCAGAACATCCCGCGTAGTTACAAAATGGAGGTCTATAGACAGCGGACTGGTTTCATTTCATTTTTTCCAAATCAATTTTGGGACATTTTAAAGCTGTTCTGAACCGCAGTATATTTGTGTTTTTTGGCACACCCTTAGTGGAAATCTCTGCAAGGCACTGTGTGTCACCTCTGGCAGAGTTTCTTCACTACAGGTACATTTGGATGGATGGTCGTGGGTATTTCTAACCAGGTCCTGGTTATGGCCTCACTCACTTCTGCCTCTTCAGCCTGCTCACTGACCTGAAAGACACCAGTGCAAACTGGCTGCTTGTTTCCATTTGTCAGTCAAAACATATTCTTTTGTGTTCTTCAAGTAGAACTAGGTAGCAGACTTCAAGCTGGCAAGGCAAAGTCATCCATTACTCATCACTTATTCCTGTATAGGGGGAAAAAAATGCACCAGTATGGGTTTTAATAGGAAGTAGGCATGGAAAGGCTGAAGGCAGGCAAGGCACTGCCATGTTTCCAGAAGTGCCTTCCTGGTGGTTTCTTTGTGAATAGCGCTTCTGTCCGCGTGTTACTGTTGTAGAATAGACGTATTGTTGCACATTTCTCAGCAGCAGAAAAATAAAACTTGAGAAAAGTAAGTTCCTTCTCTTCGCGTTGTACAAGCTACGCTTATTCAGGATCCCACATCTCAGACACAATCTTTCCAGATGCATTCAAAGTAGTTGGGAGGGAGGAGGATGGCATTTTCTGTATTTGCATTTTCCCCCAGTTCAGACCTGTGAGTATGCAACTACAAACTAGAGGCCACTGTCCCTGTGTAATCCCAGGTTGAGGAGGAGACATGGGCTTAGCTGCCCAGCCGGACAAAGGCAGGAAGGGAGTGAGTCCAAATGTGTATTTGCTAACGTTGTGTAACGCTCCACGTTCCCATGGCGTTGGCCTTCGAAGAACAGTGCACCTCGGGTGTAGCAACAGCGGCACCTCAGCCAGCGGACGTCCTGGCTGGAGTCGGGGTTGTTGTGCCAAACCTCAGCTTGCTAGGTAGCCAATGGAAGAGCTAAATGGAAAATGAGGATGAGTTATTGGAGCAGCCAAAGGCAGCAAGCAATGAGTGCATTTATCCTCTGAACCATACTGTATCACACTTTCCCCTTGGCTGAGCGGGAAGAACTGTCAGTACAGCAGCTATGACATGGGTAATGTAGGCAGAGAAGACAGAGGCTCAAAAATGAATGAAAACGTCTGTTTTTCTGTCTTGTTTTATTTTGTTCTGATTAGTTGTTACAAGTTCTACAGAGCTTTCAAAATTAAGATTTCAAAAGTCCAGATATAGTGTTTTTTTTTTTTTTTTTTCCCCCTAAGCCAGAGTAACTGGTGGTTTCCCCATCCAACACTCATTGCTTTTCACTGCTAGCTAATATTTTGTGAACCTACATAAGACTACTACATCGTCACCTTATGTTGAAGGATAAACATCAATTCCAGCATTATATAACTTTTCCTCCTAGATTTTTAGGTAATCTCGTGTGTAGTGTCTAATAGCAGATTGGTGGTGTCTTGGAGCATAATGACATTATTTTGGTAAAATGTGAGCTACAAACATCACTTGTCAACTTGAGCAGCAACTACTACAAGATGTATTTGCTGTAGTTATTTACATGTGATAGCTTAGGTATTGAAACTAAAGAACAAGAAGTGTTTTTAAAATGCTCCCATCCTGGAGTGCGTTACTTTTTCAGACGTTTTACTTTTATAACACATGGGGAGCAGCTGCCATCTTCAGTGACTATTCCATTATACCGCAAATATAAATCCACACTCTGTAAAGTCGTCACGGCTCTGTCATAAAAGCAGGAGCCTTTGTATTAGTAAACTACACTTGTGTAACAGTATAAGCAGTACTTGTTGAAGAAAGGAATTGAAACCACTGACAGTTTCCTGTACCAACTCGTTTGCTGATGTTTGCCGTCCTTGCATGCTCGCACATTACAACTCCACTATAATGAATAAAATTGTTCCAATCCATTAACATACATTACATTCTTAAAATAATCTACTAGTTCTATGTTTAAGCTCTTGGCAAAATTGAGGTGGTGTTATTTCAACATGTTAGCAAATAGCAGAAAAAAAGCATGTGTCACACTGACTGCGATTGAATTTAATTAGTTGCGCAGCATAAATTGTGACATTTTGAATAGCCTGGTTTGATATATTTAGTACTAAGTGAATTTCATGTGTAAGGAAGGTTTAGTGCATCTTGGTTACTGTATCAACATGATAACCTGGGGACAATGAACGTCTCCTCCTGTTGTAGGATGACATTTCTGATTGTCCCAGGAAAACACTTGTTTGCTGTTGGGAAGCAGGTTTCCCTCTGACCTCTTAACTCTTTGTGGGCGGGTGCAGGACGAGGATATCCTCACCCAGAGAAAAGAGGGGAAGCCACACATAACCTGCCTTTGTTAACTCCAGTTCTAACATTTACCATTTTGTTTCACTAGTCTTCTAAAAATGTTTTCTGATGGTGTTGGTGCCCCTTTTGTAGTTTTTTATTTTATTTTGGTCAGTAGCAACTGATGTGTTGAGTTAAAATAGATCACTTTAGAGGTAGTTAAGTCTGGTTTAGTTTGTCTTGTTTATCGCAGAACTATCATCCAAAAGGGCTAAAGCTCAGAAGTAACAAATATAAAAATGGAGTTGTAGTCTTTTTTGGTTCATTGATCTACAGTGATCCAAGCACAGAGCCCGGTGGTACTTCATCCCTTAACAGAGGTTTATGTGGAATACTGACAAATTTAATGAAGGAAATATAAAAGATTTAGAAATTCAGATTTTATAAATTAAATGTAATGTAAATTTAATGTAATGCAGTCATACAGATGATTAGTATCCATGAGGGAGAGTATTGATATTTTTCAGCTGTACTCAGAAACGACTGTGGGAAAGGGCTCTCATTCCCTTTAAATCCTGGCAAAGTTAGTTTTTTTTTTTTTCAATAAAATGTCCTGGTTCATAATCTTAAAAATAAATAGCCAAGTGTTTGAGAAAAATGAATTGACTCTTTAACAGAAATAAACTCCTCTGATTAACTTGGCTGTAAACCTTCCCTCTGTGTTGGATTTATCTAAACTTATTTCTAAAGTAGGAGCTACATGACACATATGGGATTTGCTGCCAAAATGTCAATATGAATGTTAATTTTTGTTTACATTGTTGAATATTGTTTTGTTTGGAACTGAAGCTCAAGGACCAGTCCCAACAGTGACTGGGGAGAGTTTAGTTGGCGCTCAGAACGTCAAGTGTTGCATCATGACTCGACGTGTCCTGTTTTATTGATTAGCCACATTGCCTAGTCCAAGGTAAAAGGTCACTTTCAGATTCTATTTCCCTGCTTGCTCATTTGTTTAAACTTGATGCTCAAGAGAAAAACCATTACGATGCTGTTGAACTCGTGCTGCTTACCTTAAAATATCCCATTGATGTTTGAAAAGACAGAACTAATAATTCAGCCTGGCATAAAAAGCACAGACTTCGAGAAGGTTTGACATCTCCAGGTTTGTTTGTTGCTGAATATAATTAAGTGCTTTGAGTTGTTGTAGTAACACAGTTGTTGTTTACTGTTAAACAGAAAAGGAGCTAAACACAAAATGTGTTGTGGAAATGGCGAAGAACCAGACAATCCTCCATCCTGCTGGAGCCAACTTAGGAAAAGCAGACACTCGGTAAGCATGTTATTTGCATGACTAAGCTCTTATTTCCACACCACAGATTTATTTATCTCATGTGCACTTGACTTGGCCAAAACACCGTGCCATTTCTCTGAGACAAAACCCCCTACACCATTAAATGCCGCCGTTAAGGAAAGAAAAATCATTCCTAGACGGTGAAATTATTAAAGCACAGCCATCCTCAACAGAATCCCTTTTATAGTAACAGAAAAGTAATGCAGTATTTCCCTTACAGTTGGTTAAAAATCACAAAGGAAGCAGACTTTGAACAAAACAGTCGACTTCTCCTTCCATATGATTTTTATATTTAAAATACAATACGTTGTAGTGAAAAGTTATGCCTCGGTGTTTGTTCCCACATTTTGTATATGTAAATAAGATACGGACGGAGAAACGTTTTTCTACATCAGTTCTGCCTCTTCAAACAGCATATGAGGGAGTGAGCGCATGTGTAGCTGAGGGCATGTTTGCTCTGCTAAGCAACGAAGGAAAGTCGTATTCTGTGTTTAACATAAATAATCAAACTGGGGGAAGACTTTCACTCGTAGCCTTTACAGTGAAAGTTTTGATTAAAACACAATTCACTAATGTAGTCCAAGATTACTTAGTAGGCACAGGAAACGCCATACGTAGTGCAAAGGTAAGGGCAGTGTCTTTCAAAATATCCACTGCCCTTCAACTTTTCACATTTTCTCCCATTACAATCCTAAACTTCAATGTATTTTGATCAGATTTTATGTGATAGACCAACTCAAAGTAATAATTGTAAAGTGGGAGGTAAGTGTTTTCAAAAATTCTCTCAAAGTTCAAATCAAAAGTGTGACTTTCATTAGAACTGAACATTGTATCTCAAATAGACTATTAGATGGGTATGCACAAAATATCGCAAATTGCTGTTTAGATTGCAGTATTTGTTGACTAATATTTTGTCATTAGTTTCCTCTTTGCATGTCAATAAGCAGTTGGATCTAGACTCAGTAGATGAGCCCACCGCCAAAGAGTATTAGATGCAAATGCAGAATACATTATGTGTGCTTCTAAGGAAGAGGGATCCACTGATCAGCCGATGAATCGACCCCCATTTTCTCTCATTTTAGGAGATCACGCTGAAATTACTTGTAAAACCGATCTTATCCACTGATCATATCTTTCTTTGCAAAAGTCTGAAAATCAGTCTTATGCTCTGTAATGAGAGACGGCTGACTGATGCCCACTAGGTCACGTCCGCATGTGTGCGGTTAACAAAAGTCACTCCACCGTTTCCAACTTAGAAACTTTGTTGCCAGAACTGGAAGGTCAGGCTTTTTAAAGACCATTTACAGAAAAAAACTGCAATCATCTCTTGTCTTCCCCTAACGAGAAAGGATGTGGACTCGTTACAAATGACATCTTTATCATAGTATGAATCATTACTAATGCAGTGACATGGTGGATCTCCTCTATTGGATTTATGTCTGGAGTTTTATTCGTTTAATAGATGAATATTGTCATCTTGGCTGTGTGTTTCTGGGGGAAACATCAGGATTTCCCCCATAAAACTTGCTAAACCCGGTGGTTAGGGCGCTAGGGCGGTCATCCAGCGGCTTGCTGTGTTTTTGAGTTAAAAAATGTTTCAGGTTGGCAAGGAATTTGAAAATATCACTAGATAATTATGTGTTATTGGTAGACATTGTCATATAAACCTAAACAGCAACTATGAAGTCTTGGAAAAGGCAAACATTAAAGAAACCTAATAAAGAAACAATGCTTAGCCTGGACTGGAGAAAACCTTAGAAGGTGAGCCTCCCTTCCTTCCCATCTAACAGATTTTCTTCCTGTGTCTTGTGGTAAAATCCACTCAAATTCACATCAGCTTTGAACAGTTTTCCTGTCCCTGCTGAAGGACAGCATCCCCACAGCACAGCGTATGGCAGTTTTAGTCCCATCTCACCAGAGCAACGTGTTCCACACGTTTGCTCGGTCGTTTCCCCAACATGGATTGCACCAAAGGTGAAGCAAGATTTCCATGTGGCCGTTGCTATAATAGCAAATTTGACTTTCATTTTTGCAGACAGTACAGCCACAGCTTTTTTTTAGGAGCTGATTTCACAATACAAAATTCCTTTATGGCAGATTTACATTTTTATTGTTATTCCTGTACTTTTGGAGAGAGATGCTGCCCTTGAGGAAAACTATGCACGTGTCTTTAATCCTTTCCTACTTCTCCAAAACTCCTAAATTTGTTTGTGACATTCCTTCTTCCTCATGATGTGCTTTTGGCAAGAAATCGGACCAGTCGCAACAGGTGGATTTGAACTTCTGTCTCTGTTTTGGCTGTTTCATCACGTTAACCAACTGTCTTTATTTGGTTAGGCTGAACACGCCTGAGTCTCTCAGCTTCAGCGCTGGGAGATGGTTGGAGATCTATTAGATTAGGTTAGAGAGCAGAGCAGGAATGTTGGAATGCCTCTGGAAGGACAGATTATGTAGGTCACAGTCAGAACTGCAATGCAGAAGCTGCCTTTTCTTTAGTTTTAATTTGTAAGGGTTTGAAATCTGCTCAAAAACGGACTGGCTATCGTGGAGGAAATGTCAGCTGTGTTGGAAGAAAGAAGCCCTTGTGACTGCTGTCTGTCTGATTAGAATCAGTAAAAAGGCTGGCTTTAGGCAGAGGACGACGGCGGCGGCGGCGGCAGGTGGTTATGTGTGTCAGAGGAGCTTGAAAATATAGACGACAGCTTTGACACACAGACAATTGTGCATAAAAACGCCCGACTCCGCTCGGCTTTCTTCTTCCCTTGTAACTTCCCACTGCCCCAGCTTCCTCCTTTTTTTTTTCTCATCTTATCCGTTTCCATGGGAGCTCGGTGGGAGGTTAAGTCCGGGTCGCTGCTGATGACCAGGGGAGCCTCCTTCCTTAAGTGAGAAGAAGATGGCAGGGGGGAGTGGGGGGGAAGAAGCTTCATTTACTCAAGCATCTGTCGACCATAAACTTCCCTTGGTGACGTTTATGGAGCTCGGAACAAGAGCGGAGCTGTAGCTTCTCTCGCCGTCGCCCTGCGACAAAGGGGCAAAGAGGCAACAGCCGGATGGGCCGACTGACTGCTGCGCTCAGTGTGCAGATGCTGTTTTAATTTTGTTTGTTTGAGGCCAGTTTACATTGACATAGTGCTTTACATGTTCGTTGAGATAGACGGGGTTGAGTTCATTGAGGAAGTAGGCAGTTAAGTTGGCGTGTTGCAGGTGCATGATGTTTGCTCGAGATAACAGCCTCCAGGATCCCCTCTGTTTAATTATCGAAACTGATAACTGGAAAACAGGATTGCTTCTTGGCATAACACAATCATTGCTATTCTTATAGGACTGTTGTAAACGATTGTTTTAGTAATCTCTGTTATTCTGATGATTAATTGAATAAAAATTTGTCTCGTTCTGTTCAGGAATGCACCAATCCACTTTTTTCACTTCCAATACAGATATCCGAGATTCGTTATTGGCCAATATCAATCCGATACAGAAAAACTGTGCCGGATTGACAATAAATCATATTGCATGAAGTAATTCGAAGCACAAAATATAGAATTGGACTGAATAGATCTGCCATGTCGGACACATTGTCATGATACCCAATCTAGAGTTTTTTTCAATATCGAGACCGATATTCACAGATATTATCAGATCAGTGCATCTCTGGTTCTGCAGTAGCTACTTAAGCTAGTAAAAGAAATATAAATGCAATACAATTCAGACGACACTTTTAGTCTCAAGTTTGAACTTGTTTTTGAGGTGCAAAGACGGATGAGAAATGAAACATTTCACATTAATTCCTAAAAATTAAAAAGCAAAACTTTAACTGAGGCATTTGCAAACACAGCCTTTTATATTACACTTCACTTTAATTCTTCTGTTTGAAGTTTGAAAAACTGTTATAAAATGAATAATTCTAATCCTTTTTTTTTCCCACATCACTTTTCATGATCAGCAAGCACATGTAATGTTTGGCTATTTCCTTGCACATGTATCATTTCAGATTCTGTATGGACAACCAGAACAGTTCTAGCTGCAACGAGTGACATCATATTAAACTCTGTAGGTTAGAAATGAGATGGTTATACTCTTTTGAAGTCATACAAACTAATTCTTTTGGAAGTGTAGTGGTTCACACATAGCTATCCACAACATTAAATCCTACTTAGTAAATTAGTTTGTGGTAGTGACATGATGAAACTTTTCAAAAGGTCAAAATTTACAAATGCCTTTGCAAAACACTGAATTGTTAGTTGAACCCATTCTGATCCAACCTTGAATTATTAATCATTTACTAAAGAAAAAAGAGGCTTCATGCCTTAACCTCTGTGCCATCTCGCTTCGTTTAGATTTGATCCTGGATCATTTGCTTCTAAAATATGAGCTTTCACAGCGACGTGAGGTTCCTGTGAGTGCCAAACCTCAACACTCCAACGCGTTTCTAAACCCAGAGTGGAACAATGGCTAGCCTGGAACCTCTGGTGCTCATTTGCATCTCATACAAATGAGCTCTAGAAAGGATATCCTCTTACAGAGCTCATGTATTACATGACCCTGACTCATACACAAGAAACTATTAAATCATTAGTTTTTATAGCCATCTGTTTATTCAGATTCCCAACTTTGAGTCCACTGAGATGTTTGTTTCCCCCATGGATGCTTGTTATAGAAACATGGCTGTAAATTACAGCATTTTTATTGTTGCTCTTTAACATTTGAGTTCTTTATTTGCATCCTCCTTTGCGGGTGAGATGCCCTAAAACAACTGGCTCAGGTCACTTTGTGCCACTCTTCCCGATAAGCAGATGATTAACCGCCGCACAGCTGCATGTTCAGACGCCATGGTTTGCATGGTGACCTGAGGGCTGTTTGCTCTGCACCAGTGAAGCTGGATGTTGACGCATTCTGCTGACAAAGATCAGCTTCTTGTCGTGATGCAATAACAAGCGACTTGGTTTCCAAGACAATGGAGAAAGGAGGGTGTTTTG